TAATTATATGTACCCAGAAAGTACGAAGTACGCAGATTAGCTTTACTAACTTCAAAAGGAGACATGACACTGTGAGAATTAAAGGTGAGAGTTCTAGAAGTCAGTTGCTCAAAACTCTGAAAAGAAACACCAAAATATTACTTTTTTTCACAATACCATGCTCAGGTGCTAAAGGTACATTTGAAAGTGCCAGGCTCTACTCTGGGCTACATAAGTGTAACCATTGTTACATGCAATCTGAACAGGAAGTGACAATGGAAATTTCCGATACTCTCCCCTGTTCATTAGAGATATAAGCTTACAAGAATAGATTGACTTTACATGCAGTACCTTCGTCCCTGTGTAGCCCACACAAACGTAAACAAAGTAACGCTATCTCTGTAACAGGCCTTGAAGGCCCAAGGGTTGTGAGACGTTGAGGCTCCCACATTATATAGTAATTCGGCTCAAAGATGGCGGTAAGGTTGTCAGCCTTACGCGCCGGCCGCGCTTTACTCCCCAGGAAAATTATTTAATTAATTCCTGGTACTCATTTCTGTTAGAGGCCGAGTGAACCCCAGGGCCATAGTGCGGCTGGAAGGAGTAGGTCGATTGAAAAAAATCCAATGACCTCATCGGGACTTGAACCCGCGACCTTCCGGCTTGTAGCATAGTGCCTCTACCAACTATGCTACCGCTGATGATAAAATTCAGTACGCCCTCACTCAAATTGGCATTCCCCTTTCAGAGGGGAACAGTGCACTGAATGTAGAAATTCTGTGTGCAGGGGCATTAAAATAATATTTGAAAATCTGGAGTCATTGACAGTACAGTTAATCGCTAATCTATATCTTCTCTCAGTGGTCAAATTAAAAACATATTCGCTTAAACTGAACGCAAAAGGGATGTGGGTAATATAGCAGCGCCTCTCCTTCACCAAGGTTCCAGACATAACCCCCCCCCCCGGGTCCTCCTGTACCTATCCATCGGCCATGGTAGGTGTCATTGTTGTTGGGAACGTCTCGCAGAGCACGACTAAAATGTTCAGAAACATCAACATACATATAGCATATCCGTGCTCTGAGCTCCAGTGGCACATCCTACGGTTCCTGTCAGACTATCTGCAACTACCCGGCCTCTTTGAACGGATGCTGCGGTGCATGATGAGACATGCCGAGGAGTACAGTGAAACTCATGGGGGACCTCTTAAGCACTTATTTTAAGTGTACTCTTTCATCTATAATTCACTAATTAAATTTTTCCTACACAGGTTGATATGGACATATTTATTTATTTGTGGGGGGTCGTGGAATTAGCGCCAGATTTTCTCAGCATCTTTTAGTTACGCACTTTATATAGGAAATCCCTAAGAAAATCAAATATAGGGAAGATTTTCCTCCACTTCTAATTTGGCTATGTAGTTGAGATTAAATGCCAACAGATGCCACATTTTTCAGAAATATAAATTTTTATTTTCGTTGAAACTTTCGACACTTGGCAATTATATGGATGAATACGCACATATCTGTAAAATATTTTAATAAAAGTTATAGTTATTAATTGGATTTGTATTTTAAGGTACATCACTAATATCCTGAAAGCTATTTTTTTTGTGTGTGGAAAAAGTAGTTGCAGCTCTATTTGAGTGCAGTATTAAAAGATCAAAAAGCATATCGCTACGGTTTATTTTATTCTACATCAACAAATTTAAGTTTCATTAAAATCCGGTACACAATTTCCAACATGAAGTAATTGAACCGTTATATACGATTCCATATTATTCGTTAATTTTATGCTTCATACACAAAGGTCGGATAAGTATTGAATTCCGTCCCTACTCTCTCATGGAGCCAGTGCAGTGGACCTTGCCTAAAAAACACGAATATTTTCTGCTTAGCGTCCGGTGACAGACTGGCCCTTAATTTGATACGAATATAAACCTTGCCTGCCGCTTCGCCGTCGAGTACAGAAGCCAGCATATGTTTCTTACAAAAGTGCAATAAGTGCACATATTTGCCTCTGTTTTAAATCACGTTTTCTCTGCTGGGTGTGCTTTCTACGTTGAAAACTAAGCCGCGCCATAGCTCAATCGGTCCGTCGCTGGCTTCCCACCGCGGCGGCCCGGGTTCGATCCCGGCTCTGGTCGAGTGGGATTTGTGGTGGACATAGTGGCGCTGGGGCAGGTTTTCTCTGAGTACTTCGGTTTCCCCTGCCAATCTTCATTCCACCAGTTGCTCCACAATCCCCCTCACCTATCATCTGGGGCTGGTACAATAGGCCAGAAGTGGCCGCAGTAGAAGGGAATTAGTCCCACCCCATTAGCAGTAAAAAAAGCATTGTTTCTGTAATAGGCAGTTCCAGTATTTACGCGATTTCGGACCTCCATATACCCGAAATGTCAAGTGAGATATATATGTATATGTTACCGCAGAACTAAATAATTTGTAATTATGAATAATAACAGGTAATTGCATTGAATTATTAAAAACGTGATAACTGTGATAAATTTCATTAAAATAATTTTACCTGTATTTCATCTAGCCGTTCAGAAGCTTGCATGGCGCAAACCTACAGATTTAATTTCCAAAAATCACATCATAATCGGGGTAGGAACCAATGAATACGTAAAAATTTCGAGCTCTTCTTTGTCACGATAATCAGATTCTGTGCCCTATTTACTATGTTTGAGAGGCAATAAAAATGATTTCGAAGAACTTGGGGATCACCCAGCCTCCTGTTGTCTACTGACGGTGCAAAGGTGACCTAATAAAATAGATCCTACCTTGGGATTTTCAACAAAATTTTGAGCGGCCGGTGCCTGAATCTGGATACTTACCTCGATCCAGTACATAAATATAATATTATATTTAATCATCTTGTTACATTCCACACTTCTATATGTATAATACAAACCTCGTCGTAAATGTAACACTTTATTGTAGTTCTTGTCCCCTTTCTTTCATACTACATGTTTCGGCCGCAACCGGCCATCCTCAGGTGTATTTCACTTCACACTGCACTCAATATTAACATTTAAGTTGAGATTTCCAATATTATATTTAAGCATCCTGTTGCACTCTATACGATATATCATATAAACCCCGTCTTAAGTGCAACAGTTTATTACAGGTCTTTCGTCTTGCTTTCTTCTACACTACATGTTTCGGCCGCAAACGGCCATCATCAGGTGTATACACAAAGATAATATACGAATCAGACAAATATCAGCGAAGTAGATTCTGTTAGCAGCGACGATGGGAACAATTGGGAAGTCCTGTGTTTTTAAATTTACACTAAGTGCAGTGTGACAGCTACGTGATGTGAAATACACCTGATGATGGTCGATTACGGCCGAAACAAGTAGTGTGAAAGAAGGGGGGACAAGAACTACAATAAAGTGTTGCATTTACGACGGAGTTTGTGTTATACATACATAAATATAAATTTTGTGCTATTTTCCGTTATCCACTCTTCAGGTTTTTGAAATAGGATTTCGTATATACTCATATTTCCCGTCTTCCACATATATGTTACATGTCCTGCGCACAAACGCGCAGGTTGGCTCAAGCGAGGCACTTCTAACTTGTTTTCTGGAGGTTTTCGGTTCGCATCTAAGTCAGAAACTGGCTATTCTGAGATTTTTCAAGATTCTCTTCAGTCATGTCAGGCAGATGCAGGGATATTACTAAAGTCGAACACTGCCATATATTTCACATTCTTTCAAAATCGTTGATAACTATAATCCAATCGTTCGATTTCATTTAGCCAGAAGTGCTGGTAGCACCGTTACATAAACTTCAGATAAAAATGTCGTGTCGTACTTATCACATCATTCCTGGTCCGGTCGCCTAATAATAGTCATTGTATAGTACAAATTATGAATCTCTTAAATCATAAGATTTTCTCAATTCTGATGTTATTTCTTTACACTCAGACCCAAATATCTACCGAAATATTCTTTTTTTTTTCGAAACAGCCGTAGTCTGTGTTATGTCCTTAAGCTGACAGATTAGATATCATATTCACATATAAAACACATATAGTTGTAGACTTGAAAGGATTCTGCCGATGGTGTATACTGTACTTCTTTTGGCTTATTTTGGACTTCGTCCAGTGATTGAGACTAGCTCTTTCTAACGGGCCCAACTGAGTAGGTTTATCCTTCCCTATCCACCTGAAGACGGAGACAGATCGAGTCTCCGAAACGTCGTGGTCTTTTGTCTTTTACATACCAGACGATGGGTGAAGTCCAAAATAAGGCCAAAGAAGTACATATAGTTGTGGTTTCATAATAATTTTTAATAATGCTGGAAGTATGGAACCTCATTATGAGACCTGCCTGTGTTGTCACATCCTCACAGCGATGATTCTTGTGGGATACAATTCGGAAGGTCGTGGGTTCTATTTCCGATGAAGTCATTGGAATTTTCAGTTTACCTAATCCTTGCAGCCGCGCTATGGCCCTGGGGTCGACTCAGCCTTAACAGAAATGAGTACCGGGAATCTTCCAGGAGGGTAAAAGTCAGTCGATCATAAGGCTGACAACCTCATCGACATCTGTGAACCGATTGTCTAGAGAAAATGTGGGAGCCTCGACATCTCAGAACCCTTTGGGCCTTCACGGCTTCTTACTTTTGATCACGCTATGTATTTTGGTGAACATTTAATGAGTTTCGTGTAAATGCTGATTTTTTCATGCTAATTATATTCTTGGCTTGTTCTTGAACCCTGAAGATGGTAGCAGTATTTTCCTCGGAAAATTTAGTAAACATCTTTCAAAGTCCTCGCGTTATACAATAAATCACTCCTCAAGAATGGTTTTGCTTCTTCTGCAGAAATTATCAGTAATCTGAACCTTGGGTCACTTTTCACTGAAAGTTCTCTGTAATTTTGTCCGTTGGTGCTTACACTTCTTTGTTAAATGAGTTGCATATGTGTGCACATGAGTGTGTAGGTGGAGAATTAGACTGTTTTTACTACACGGTAACTAACGTTTGATGTATATGATTCGTTGTTTCCAGTTGGCACAACCCTGTGAAAGAGGACCTGGTCAGGAGAAGCAAACATTCAGCTCTGGAAAGCGTTGCATTATGGGTGAGTACTGTTCACTTATCCTTGTGTGAACTTAAACGTATTGAAATATCATCTGCATAGAAATGTTACTATTATTGTTTGTAGTATCAAGTGAATATTGTTCGATAAACAGCGATTTATGATATTGTGTCCATCGATTCGCGGGAAAGTGACGTTATATGGATCAAAAAATAACGTTATGAACCAATAGTAGTAATATTGTGTACAGCTGGACACGTGGTACCGTACTTGGTTGAAGCACTATGCCAGAAGGTCGTGGGTTCGGTTCCCGATGAGGTCACTGATTTTTTTCATTTTACCTAATCCTTTCAGCCGCACTATGGCCTTGGGTTCATTCAGCCTCTAACCTAAGTGAGTACCAGGGTAAAGAGTGGCCGGAGTGTAAGGCCGATTGTCTAAGCGGCCTCCGTAGTCTAGAGATAACGTTCCCACTTCATGACTCGTGGTACGCAGGTTAAAACCAGGCGGAGGTCGTGGAATTTTTAAGGGCGGAAAAATTCAGGGAACAAGTCCTCCGGGAGGGACTTTAAGCAGTGAGTCCCGTGTCGTAGCTTTACGGCACGTAAAAGAACCTCATATCGCCAAAGGAGGTCACTGAGCCAAATTCAAGGACGTTTCCCGCCCAACAGTAGTCTCTAACGCCTCTGATAGATGGGGGAAGGATTATAGATACCGCCAAGCCAGTAGAGGCCGAACTCGCTGGCTCGGTCGGGACTGATGGTACGCACCAATATCGGTAGGGTATAGAGACTGGTAGAATATCATAGAGGGAAGCACAATGGACCAATACTGGTCTAAGTTCATGTGGAAACCCACCCTCTCCAATAACTAACTAACTAACTAACTAAGGCCGATTGTCTAGAAAATCCGAGAGCCTCGACGTCTCACAAACCTACGGGCCTCCATGGCCAGTTACAGGGATATACCTTTTACAGCTGGCTACATGAATAAATAAAATACTTGTATGTAAGTTTGTAGAAACGATTCTTTCGTTACACAACAATCATTAGTGTTCTGGACGTTGGCGAGGTAAACACCCTGCTTCAGTGTTCACGTTTTTAATTAATTATTGGGTATTTCAGTGATTGTTCTAACTAGTATGTTAATTGAAAATTCGGTCATAGAATATCTGTGAATAGTAGGCCGGAATGCATCCAGAATCTGCCACGAAATCTATTAGAATAGACGCAAATATAATTTTCATGCTGAATTTGAATTTTTCACACTGACGACTATGAATAATACCATCTTCGGGAATGTGGCACCGTGTAGTCAGAAGTTCGCTGACGTTTCGGAGGATATATTGGTTTGATTTCCAGACTTGAAGAGTGAGCCAAACAAGAAACTACCCATAAGCAGACAGCAAGAAAAGCTGATAGCTTTTCCTTGGCTTACTGTTCGACCATGAAGAAGGAGGCTATATGTTTCCACGAAACTTCGGTGAACTTGTACCAAACTAAGCAGTGTTAGAACCGAGAAGGCCATACTCTTTACAACTCTCATTGTCTGTTTATATGTTTTTGAAACTTGTATCTATTTCCAATGTAAGAACGTATATTGAGGGTTTTTGAGACAAAGTGCTGAGGTGATATGTGTATATGGATTTAAGAGAATGTCATAAACTGTAATATTAAGGAAGCGTTATTATGTTTATCAAATGGAGAAAATTTGAAGGCTTGGACATTTAGAATTCATGTGAATAATGAGGCAGGGGAACTTAGTCAGGATATCTGAAGTCAAGGAGCAAATTCCGACATCTAGATCAACGTAAGGAGGGTGAGATGTGCAGGGCGTGTAGCATGAATTGTGGAGTGGAGGAATGTATATGGAGTTTTCGTTGGAAAGCTAGAATGAGACTATGCGCCAGGACAGCAGCTCACATGACTGAGGTTCCCGCGGTTTTACTTAGTCTCTCCCCACAGTCGACGGAAAGTACCTCGCTTTGGACGCGAACTCTTCCTTCCAAATCCTTTCTGACGTGTTCACAATCAACCTACCATTCGACACTGTAGAGTCTAGCTACTGAGGGCGTTACAAAATTACTTAATATTTTGCAACTGAAAAAAGAATTTAAACATTTTTTCTCAAAAATATTGTGGTATAGTGCTTCAAAATGCCATCATCAAACCTACTTAACTCATACTTCGAATATAATGTAGCATGAAGACTTGTTGCCAAGTAATTACTCTACAAACAACGCCCGATGCCAGGCAACAGTTTCCTAACAAGCAGCAATTGAACAACAGGGGAACGGTGTTTTCTGTGCGCTCCGTGCCGAGGAGTTATAAGCGGGACAAGTGTAGAATTTAGTCAGATATGAGACATTCACCGACCGGTAAGGGCGCAAGCAGAGAACATTGTTAAGATCCGTTATCAGGAAACGACTAATGAAAACAGACTGAGAAGGCTTAGTATGTGGTATAGCGAAATGCAGAGTATGTGAATTAGTAATAAGACTACAGATACTTGCAGTTGAAACCTGTAAGTGTTCAATAAATCCGATTACCAATCTTAACTTCGTCTATAGATAATCATACACTTGACAGTATTATGAAATATTAAGGCGGTTAGCGCGTACGTTATGCTTGGGGATTTTCATCTTCTGGGATATAACGCCTTGTAGTCTGTTTGAAGGAAACCAGCTTTCTACATGTTTCACACTCAAGATTGAGGTTACATATTCCTTCGAAACGTCGGTTGACTATACGTTGTTATATACCATAAGCTAGAAATATACTGTGAGAACCTCAAATCCTGTAGTTTAACCTTGTTTAAAATGGAATCAAAACTGCAAATCTGTTTTCTCGTAATTCACGGTTTCTCGACTTCGATGCGCAGACAAACTCACTAACTGGAAGACCACGTTTTAGAGTACAAAAAATAAAGCACCCTATGTTTTGTAATTTTCTTGTCGGTAGATAGAAGCGTAGTAAAGCAAAAAGTGACTCAGTCCGCCACAGTTCTCTGCGGAGGCTACACCCCCTCCTGACCTCGCAGCGTATACTTGCATAATTAGACGTCACAGATAATTGTTTCTGTATAATGGCACAGTGGGAAGCTCTCTCCAAAACCACTGTTTCCCTCAAGAGAATAGACTGCAGCTATCCTCAGTTCCACCTCGCGAACTCTGCTTGTATACCAGAGACTCGTCCTTTTTTTGTTTCTTAATTTAAGAAATGTTGTACCCAGTCGCAAAAACGTAGCGTTAGGCGGCAATACAGGTTTTAGTCCATGTTTAACCTTTAAAAACCCAGTGGTTATTATACGTACCAATTGCTTTCAAATTCAAACTCTGCCTTTAACGCACAATGACTTGATATGTTTTTGTATGTTTCTCAGAATAAACATCTGTTATTTTCATTAAGAAATATTAATGCAGTCATCTTCTGAACAGAGTAACATCGTGATCTTTGTGAGGTATCCAGATTTACATAGCAGAATGCAGTAGCAGTAATGCCGTACACTCCTCTTCGGAAGATACACGGTTCGAATCTAGTCTAGAACACCATTTTCTTTACTGTTTTTTTCATGGCTTTCTTCGGTTTTTTCTTCAAGTTCTGGGATAGTATGTCGAGTTCGCCACGGCTGCTTCTTCCCAAATCATCTCCTATATTTATTCATTTATCATCCTGCAATTGAACGTCATATACAGGATGTCCCAGAAAGAAAGGTGAATAGAGTGAGAGGTCACAGTGTCATACATTCTAAGCAAAAAAAAAAAAAAGTCTTATTCCGGACTGTTTCAGAGATAGAGCTATTTCACTGTACGCTTTACTGACGAGCAGCACGCCATGTCCTCACACGAGTTTCAAAGTGCAAGGGACTTAGTCCCACCCCACTAGCAATAAAAAATAGTGCATTGATGTTGACGGTTGAATTTTCGAAAATGTATTATACTAGGTAAGCCGTATCGAATTTGTCACTTGAACAATAAGTACTGGTATTAGGAACAGTGCGTAATAGCTCTTTGTTAGCAATTTTGGAATTGTACTGTGAAATAGCTGTATCCCGGGAAAAGTTCGGAATAGGACACGTGTGCATATACAAATTTTGCTTAGAATGACCGGTAGTGTGACCTCCCAGAACATTGACCTTTCCTCCTGGGACACTCCGTAAAACTAACTATGACAGCGTCAGAAGTGAACACCAGTATTTTTAAAAAGCGTCGCATTTATATACGGCGCAGTTGTGTTCTATACAATTCTCGGAATAAAAAGCTCATATTTCCGGAAACGACATTCATAACAGTGGTCTTCATAATAGACGTGCAGTGCGTTTTCTGTGTGGTAGGAAATTACTTTGAAATGTTATTTAAATTATGTTTCACGGCGGTGACTATGAAGAAAGCAGTCTTCTGGGATTTGGCACCGTGTATATGTGGTGTTAACCGACGTTTCGGCTTTTACCGGTTCTCACGGTCTCTTCGCTTGCAGATTTCTTATATTTTTTCTTCTACCCTGAAGATGGAGGCGATACGTTCCTCCGAAACGTCGNTCTATCTATCTATCTATCTATCTATCTATCTATCTATCTATCAACCATTGACTTTACAATGCTTCTGTTGGACCTTGCCCTATTCTACAATTTCTTAATCCTATATACAGTCGGTAGGACTCCTTAGACGAGGGATCAGTCCTTCGCTAGGCCGCTACCTACACACAGGACAACACAAAGACAGAAAAAACACACACAAACATCCATGACTTGAATGGGATTCGAATCCACGATCCCAGCGTTCGAGAGAGCGAAGACAGTTCATGCCTTAAGGTGCGTCCACATTACTCGTACTCGTGATCATGCTCGTGTGAGTCTCTATGCTCGCGAGTAATGTGGACGATATGACAAGTCACGAGACAAGCAAATTTTTAATTTAAAAACTATAGCCAATAAATTAAAATACGACTACAGCCTATACACACTACGAGTAAATATACGGATCCTCACGCGCCGAAGCCTGGCGAGCAACTGAAGTAGTGTGGACGAAGATTTACGGGCAC